TTGAGCTAGTTGTTGGCTGCTGGGCTGAACCACAGACGGGTCAATGGCCTGTGGGAATTGCTGGCTGCTGGCCTGGGCCACAGATTGGAAGTTGGCTTGTGCTCGTTGGCTACTGGGCTGTGCCACAGACATATAGCTGCTCTGCACTGGTTGCGGTCCACTGGACTGGGAAACAGATTGGCTGGCCTGAACTAGTTGCTGGCTGCTGGGCTGAACCACAGGCAGGTCAGTAGCTTGTGCTGGTTGGACACTGGGCTGAGCCACAGATGGGTAGCTGGCCTGTGCTAGATGGCTACTGGCCTGGGCCACAGACTGAAAGCTGGTTTGTGCCGGTTGTTCACTGCTAGGCTGGATGACCTGTGCTAGTTGCTGGCTGCTTGGTTGAGCTACTATTTCATAGCGAGTTTGTACTGGTTGCTGGCCACTGGATTGGGCTAATTGCTGGTGGGATGACGGACTCATAAGTGCATAGCTAGCCTGAGCTAGCTGAGGGCTGTTCAACTCACTGCTGTGTTGCACTATTTGGTAGCTAGGCAGTGACAGGGATTCATTTTTGGGGGGCAAAGTCTTGAAATAGCCAAAGCTTGCATCCTGAACTGGCCTGGAACCTGAAAAAAGCCTAGAACCAGTTTGCCAAAGTCGATCTCACTGAGGCTCAAGGGGCGCTCTATTTGACTGCCTTGCAGACTGGGAGCTGGCCTGTGCTAATTGTTGGCCACTGGTCTGGGTTAACTGTAGGGTGCTAGACTGGGCCATGGTTCCAGAGCTGGCTTGTGCCGATTGCTGACCGCTGGACTGGGAGATTGTCTGCACTAGCTGTTGACTGTCGGGCTCTGCCACAGAGTCATTGCTGGTCTGCAGAGGAATTTGGTAAATTAGCTGCTCTGGCTTAAGAACAGAATCACTACTTTGCTGCAATGGCATCAAGACCATGGAAGAACGGATAGTGTCAGAGCCTTGAACACTAACTGACCGACTTACACCATACCCTGACATGCCCATACCTGCTGCACTACCCACAAGACTACCACTTCCAACTGAAGCACGTCGAGAGTCCTGAAGCTGGCTTCTAGCATCTGAACCAGAACTTCCACTTGTCACTGGACCACCTGAAGAGCCAGTCTGAGAATGGTAGCTTCCAGAACCATAGCCTGCCTTAACTGCAGCACTATAAATTATATTCCTAGAACTCCGAGGCCTGATTGGTCCAGCAACATCTCCTGGGCCATACCTGGTGTAAAAACTTAGTAGTTTAACATCATCCTGCATGGGTCGAACATCTTTTGGGATATCAGGGTTATAATATCCAGGATTGCCTGCATTGCTGACAAAGCTATAGCCATCAACTGCAACATAAAAACAAGAGGCATCAAAGACAATGTTGACAAGGTTCAGTTACATAAAATTTTACTACATAAACTTACCAGTCCAAATGCTGTCATGAACACCAAGGCTTAAAAACACTGCCAAAGAAAAACTGTAAAACACTTGGTGTTAGGAACTGCAAAACCCCCCCTTAAAAAACAAAAACAAAAAACACCTTTAACTGGTTTTAATAAATCTTAGAAAAATTAACCAGCAAACCCATAAACTAAACATACCTTAAAAAGTGCATCGTAATAGTATCCATATGAAGCCAAAACTATCATCAACAACACTCAGTACAACAACTACGAAAAATAAAAACCTTTTACCCAACCATGTAGCTTTATTACTAATTTTTATAGTGCCTGCCTCTACCACTCACCAATCACAGTTTACTAGATTATTATCTCAGACCAATCAGTTGTCACGGCAACCTCTAATGGCTTATTATTAGTTTCAAGTGTCATAGTATGCCAATTTGGTTGGTGCCATTTTTTTATATTGTGTTTAAAAAAAAATGCATTCATTTAGTAATGCTGATCTCAAATGTTCTTCTTGCAATATTGGAGTGATGATTTGGAATGAAATATGATTTGTGTTGTGCGAATCAACAGATTCTCAAATGAAAAATAAAAAAAGTTTCAAGTGGCATAAGAACTAGATATTCTGCACGTCACTTAATTTAAATGTATCTTTATGGTGAACTGCATGCCAGCAATGGATCAGTTTAGCTCTGTTGTGTTGGAAATATATCCATCATGAGGAAATGCATGATAATAGAAAAAATCTTGCCGTATCATTCCTGTGAGCTTTCCTGTTGTGAAAGTTGTATTCAAAATAAGACCCTCTTCAGCTCATGCTACCATTTTATTCTGCTGAATGGATGTTTCCAACATGACGTTGTCAATACTGCTGCAGATTGGAGCTATCAATAGCTTTTTCCATTGGTGGGGTGTGTGTCAGCATTGTTTACACTGATGTACTGCTATTTCAGCATGTCTGACTCATTTTGTATTTATTCCCTGTGTAAATATTCTTGCTTTTTACAAGGTTAATAAACCCAAGGAATTTGTTCCGCCACTGTTAGAAGCGGAATATAGTATAACTTATTTAAAGCGGTTATGAACTGAGAAATCAAAATTCGCTTGATCGTTTGACATATAAGAGGTCATATAAAAACATCATGTAAGTTTCAGAAATCAAAACTTTCTCATTAGTCTAAAAACAGCTTATATTGAAGCCAATCTGCCAAAACGACAGCTTGTGGAATGTGCTGCTCTATGACATAATAGAGCGAGTAAACCCTGCCTCTGCAGAAGATCAACGCCTGCTTCTACATCACTGCCTGTTTAGCTCCGCCCACTGATTCACACACGTAGTAGTGATGAGAAACCGAGACTTTCTGAACCGTTTGAGGCTTTCATCAAATTGTGCCGAAAAACGGTTCATTACTCGAAGCTTTTTAACACAGTGCGCATTAGCGACATCTGGTGGTCAGACTCGGTTTCTCCAGCCTATCTAATGAAACATGCGGAGCAGAGGATGGTTTGAATTTTTTTTAAATCTGTGCCAACTCGTGTCATGCGTAGTCCGGTCAGTGGATTCACATATTGATCAATAATATAAAATATACAAGTGTGTGATTATAATTAATAAACTGACGTGAGTAGTAGCAAAAATATTTTGGGTGAGCTGTTCAGAGTCTCTGAGGCCCCAGCTAGAACATGAGAAAATGCAATAGAGGTGTGACGTGCATTCAGTTTCTGTCTGGTGTTGAGGTTATTCTAAACTATTCTACTGAATCCCAAATAAGTGTACACACACACA